GGGCACCGAGATGGGCGTGGAAGCCAGCGTCTGGCTGCGGCTGCGGCCCCGGAACTCCTCGCTGAGGGCCTTCATGGCCTCCAGGATGGTCTCGTGCATGTTCTGGGCCACCACCAGGTCCTCCACCTGCATCCAGAGCTCCCCGGGCCCCGTGGTGGCCGAGCGGCCCACCTCCATAAAGAAGTAGTTCTCCGAGTGGCCGCAGCGGCGGATGCTGAGCAGCTGCAGGACCACGGCTGCCTCGTCCGAGTTCAGCTTCACGAGGTTGACCGTCTTCTCAGTCAGGCACAGGAGGTAGACCCCGGCCAGGTTCCTGGTGTGCCCCAAACCTCTGGGGCGGAGGCTGACCTGCCACACTTCTTTGAAGGCTGGGCCGGACCAGGCAGCCCCACAGTCCCCCTCCAGGGGTGCTGTTCCTACGAGGGAGGAAGGGGCTTTTGACACAAGGACAAGATGCAGCCCGAGGTTGGGGGACATCGGGGGGCGGGGGCTAAGAAAGGGGAGAAGAGCACCTACGTCTTCCCCATGGGAAATGACGCTCCTGGCCAACCCACGGGGACCCAGCCTCCCTCCCCGTGGCTGCACAAGAAAGCATGGGGACATGGAGACCCAGGCAGGATCTGGCCCTCGATCCGAGCTGAGCTGAAGCAGGCTGCCCGCCTTGTCTGGGGGAAGAGAGAAGCGACGCCCAGGGGGGCGTAAAGGTCAGGCAAGAGGAGGCCCGGCTCCCCCCAGCAGGCCATCCCTTCCCATCACCTGGGGGGGTGTTGCCAGGGAGACGCCAGGGCTGGAATTCCGAGGAGGGGGACGCTGCCTGGCGATGGACAGAGCAAATGTGGCCTCGGTGGTGGCCAAAGACTTCCGGGAACCAGCAGGGCAGAGGAGAGCTGTAACGAGGCCCCCGGCTGGCCCTGGGGGAAAGGGTCAGCCGGATCATCTCCCCCCATCTGGGAGTGGCCAGGAGGCTCTCCCACCAACCAACTCAGCCCTGTTCCTCCCCCAGGAATGGAACATTCTGTACGGAGCTCTACCTGTGAGCTCCGCCTCTCTGCACATGTACAGTGTGCGCACACACACAGCATGCCAGCAAGAGGGCCGGGGTGGAGGTGGTGTGGATGGCTGCCGGCCAGGGAACCAAGTGGAAGCTGGAGCCAGCAAAGAGAGGCCTCCCAGCTCGGTCCCCAGCAGCAGCCCATCCTCCCTGGAGCAAAGTCCAGGGCCTGCCCGCACCTCCCTGCAGCCTGCCTGCCACTGGCAGCCAAGAGCCCTGGTCCCCTTCCAAGCTTGGTCACAGAAGCTGTGCCAGTTCCTCCACGGGGCACCCCAAGCCTTGGTGACGGAGCACAGCAGGGACTCAGGCACAGAGCCAAGACACCCAAAGTTCGGGAAGAGACCTTTGCTCTCCTGCCTCCTGGTGCTGAGCAGGCCTGCGCTCCACGAAGGCTTCCCCAGAGGTCGCTGCGCAGAGACCGTGGCCTGGTCCCTGACCCCACCACCCACTGCACTGGCCCGTTCCGGGAGGGGGTATTTAACAGAAGTTCCCAAATCCCAGCCATCTGATTCTGCTGTGTTAAACTCCTCCACGGATGGGCCCAGGAAGGCTTTGAAGTCTCCAAAGGTCTGGGACCCCTGAGGGCCTCTCTCCCAGCGCTACCAACCAGATGCCCCAGTGCACTCAGGGGTGGTCCAGGGGTGGTGGGACTGCCGGGATGCTCCCCTGAATTAGAAGCACATCTGGAGCGCCCAGGATGGGGAAATCAGACTGGCGCTCTAGAGGCAGCTGGAATGGGTTTGCTCCAGCCAAACGCTGAGGCCAGCTGGGCATCTGAACAAGCTCTCCTGGCAAGGAACTGCTGGGAGTGAGGTCCAGGAAAGCCCGGAGCGGTGGGAGCTGGGAAGGCATATCAGTAGCACAACAGCCCCGCTCTGCCACCCTGGATAAACTCCAGCCACACTGCAGCCACACGGTACCCAGTGGGAGGCTCCCGGCAGCAGCAGGCAGTTCCTCAGGGCCCCCCCAAGGGCCACAGTCTGGGAACGATGCAGCAGACAAGCCAGACCCTTGCAGCAGAGTCCGCAAAGGAGGAACATGCTGACTCCAGCGCCAGCTCTAGGTGCAGGGAGTTTCACTGGGCACGCCAGGTGGGTATCAGCATCCCCTGCCTCTCCCAGGGGGGAAGATTGCCATCTCTTGCTTGCTTCTTCAGAACAGCATCCCCAAACTCGGAGCCCGGCTGGCACTAAGCCTGAATCTCAAGTTTGGCTTAAGTCGGAGGCTCAACCCCAGTGCCCCTAGTCCTGAATTAGCATGGCTAAAGCTGGGCTAGAGGGGAATGATGGGGGCTGCAGCCCACAGCCTCCCTCCTGAAGGCCTTTTTGTCTCTTCCGCAGACTGCCAGGCCCTCCCTGGCGGCAACCTACCATCGGCTGCCCCCCGACTCCCGACTCACTTTTGCCGTGCAGCTCCACCAAGGCCGTGTACCAGACCTGCTGCTGTTCAGCGTTCTCCGCAGCCACGCCAAAGGTGCCCTCGCGCCCACAGAGGACAATCAGGTGCTGGTGCCGGGCATCTGCACGCTTGTTGATGGTAAGCATTCCCCCAAGGAGGAGAGTCTTCTTGGGACGCGAGCAAAGGCCCCCAGCCCGGAATTTCTTCTCGCTCTCATAGTACTCGAGTCGGGAGGGCCCCCGCGCCCCACCGCAGCGCAGCACGAAGTAGCGACGGCGGTTGGACTTCTGCTTGCGCAAATACCCACACAGGCGGACGTCAGCAAAGAGGAGGGCGTCATTTCCAGGGTCCATCCTGTGAGAGCCAAGCCGGTGGGTCAACTCAGGGGAGCAGCCCCTCTTCCGCTGCCCAGCAATTCCGCAGCGCAGCGCAGTGCAGAGCAGAAGGACCTGCCCTTGCTGGCACACGGGAAAGGGTCCCTCTGCCCCAGAAACTCACCCCGAGGGCCAGCTGTGGCTGCCCCAAGCACCAAGGGAAGGGGTCTCGCCTCCTCTGCAAGCGGACAAGCGGAAGAGCAAACAAATCCCGCGCTCAGAGAGTCACTTCATGGCTGCTGACGCAGAAGAGGCCCCTTCTCAGTCCACTGGCCGGTGAGAGACCCTCGGCCGGCCTCAGGCAGAAGAGCCAAAGGGTGCTCTCACAAGCTATGCCGGGCAGCTTGCTTGAGAAAGACCACTTTTATCATCCTCTCCGTTTCCTTCCACTCGCCTCACCTTCGTAATCCAACAGCACGAATCTCAGGTGCCCGCAGCCGCCGGTCGCACCAATTTCTTTCTCTTCGTCCTTACATTTGCAACACTTTTGTTCCAGTGCCAGAGGATTACTCCAGTTTCTGTTTCCAGAGAACAAAAGCTTTGCCAGCAGTTCCTTCAACTCAAGCAGCTTGCACAAAAAAAAGAAGGCCCGCGGAGGGTATTTGCCAGAGGGCCCGGGCCTCGCTTGCGATCCTTTTGCAGGGCCCAGGCTGTGTCCCTTGTTTGCAGCGAAATGGGAGACAAAGTCTCCTTCTTTTGCAAGAAGTTTGATTTTAATAAAAGTCACATGCAGAGAGAAGAAAAAAAGGCAGAAAAATAAATATCAGTCCTGCCAGGTTTTTCCATGTGGTCGTGTGCAGTTTATAAACTTAGCAGCCATTAAACAAAACGCTCCTGTGTTCTGCTCCAGGCGTCAATTTTCCTACAGAAGCTGCGCCGAACGCAATTTCAGGTTTTCAAAATGCGGCCTTACTGATGAAAAAGGGCAGAAGGAAAACAAGGTCAGGTGTGACATTTGGCCAAACCTCGCGGTGCATTTCACGGAAGTCGTTAGCCGAACAGAGCGAAAGCGGAGCCTTGTCGCTAGCGGCGGCTTCGGAAGTTCGCCTCGTCCCCAGCGGCACACGGAGAGGGCGCCTGCCAGCCGACGGCTTGCGGGCAAAATGTCAGCGCCCGGCTGCGGGTTGCTTGGCAAAAGCCACCAACTCGCATCCCTCTCAAGAGGCCACCGAGACATGTAACTGCGCCCCGGTCGCTCTCAAGCACCCCTTCTCCGGAGGGGAAAACGGCTCAGCCGCCCTCTAGCGTTTTCACCCAGCGACGACAGACGGGGAAGGTGCGAGCCCCTTAAAGGGACCT